ACAAGTCTTGTTTTGGCACTGCAGGATAATGCGCTGGACCTCAAGGTCAGTTTGAGTTGCAAGGTCAGTGGTTCAAACCCACTAGCGAGCCGCTCCTTAGAAACCTTATTCAGGGTCGCTATGAATCAGAACCGACTCTATAGCACTTAACAATAACAATAAGATAAGCTTAGACCTTAGCCAGAAGTATTGATTTTAAAATGTGCTTCCTCAGTAAATGTGGTTTTAGTGACTTAATGTTGTCACCAAAAACTCAGACTCATCATCCTTATTTTAAGTCCTCATGCTCATTTTCTTGTGCTGCAAGATGCTGCAAGATGCTATGTGTCTCTCACAGGCAAGAAAACCAAGGGAGAAACCATGCTATTAAATTGTATTTGCCTGAAGTATATATGCATTTTTACTCACAAAGCTCCCTTAGCAGACATTTGATTGGTCAGATCTGTGTCCCACGGCCAATCCTAGGTTCAAGGAAGCAAAACAATATCTGGCAATGGTCAGTGATTACATTACCATTATAGACTTAGACCAATCATGATTCACCTCCTAGACTTCAAATAGTGCTACTCTGAACAAAATTGAATTCCTCATAGTTTTCCCTTCATGTAGTTGCCTGCTATGTTGTTTGGTACATACAAGTTCATTAGTCTTAGTCTTCAGTTGTTTCTTTTATAATGCCTTCTTTTAGCCTGGTTAATGTCTTAGATTCCATCTTGTCTAATATTTCCTTTTAGAATTTTAATTTTCCTGGTATTTCTTTTTTAAAACTGTGCATTGAGTGATAGTTTACATGGGAGAACATCGATTTTACACTCATCCTATCATATTTCGTTTCATTGCAATGATTACAATACCCTCCATGCATCATCATTCAACAGTATTTGCTTCTATTCCCTCTGTGTTTTTTTTTTTAAATGTACACAAAAACATCCAGGAATATACAATCATTTAAACAACCAAAGGGCACATTCTGCAAGCCTGCCTCCTGGCTGCCAGCACACAGCCTGTCTTTTTCCATGAGTCTAGAGTCCTCTACTGCTCCCTCCCTCCATGTCCTCATCTCTGCCTCCATCTCTGGTGTTGCTGCTTCTCTGGTTAGGATTCCACATTCCGCTTGTGCTCTTCTCCCTTGATGGTCCTAGGGTCCTCTGTTCCTGGAATGTAAAATTAAGTACTCCCCCCTCTTTGTTATAAAACTTCTACCTTTACAGTTGTGACAATCGCAATTAGTCATGATAACAATTACTATTGAATCATAAGAATCTTATCCACCTCTCTTTTCACCAGACCCGTCTAGACAAGATGGAAACTATTCAGTGGGGATTCTACCTTCCTCAGCACACTCTGAAATTAAACTCCTCTTGAAAAAGCTTGTAAGCCAGTCACTTTGTGCCTTTATTGCACACCCCCTGCCTCATTTTAGGTAGCCAGTGTCTAAGATGCCTGTCCCTATCAACCTTGAGTACAGAGGGGATAGGATTGGTCTTTGATGTGAAGACTCCTTCCTTCTCAGTTGGTATTTTGAACTATTACATCCGTAAGTATAGGTCAAGTTCATCAAATTGAAGCAATTTACATTTGTTTCCGTTATCAAATTTTTTTTTATCTCCCTCTATTCTGATCATCAAGACATTGAAGCTAGGTCAAATGGGTTTGTTGTTGTTCTGTGCTGTGGAGTCGGTTCCGACTCATAGTGACCCTCTACAGGGTTTCCGAGGCTGTAAATCTTTACAGGAGCAGAAAGCCTCATCTTTCTCCCAGGGAACAGCTGGTAGTTTTGAACTTCTGACCGTGAGATTAGCAGCCTGATTCGTAACCACTATGCTACCAGAGCTCTTTAGGTCAAATGGGTACCGTCTGCAAATTTAGGTGTTCTCGTGCATCTCCCCTCCCTTCATATCAGCTGGATGCATCACTTTCAGCTCTAGTCCTCCATGGCTATGTCCTTGTCCATGGACTCAGGAGTTCCCAGGTCTCCCCAAACTTCAGACCAACCAGTCCTTCCTCTTCTCTCTCTTATCTCCAGGTCAACGGGAGTCTATGGAACATGGTTGAACTCGGCCCATATCTTCATTGCTGCCTTTCCCCGCCTTCCACTCACCAGTAGACCAATGTGGTCACCAGTCAGCTTACTTGACTACTCATTTGTTCCCTTTGTGTTTCAGTCTTGGAGGGGGATTTGTCCTGAAGGGGCTTGATTGATTGTATTGATAGCTCCACCTGGTATTTCTTTATCCATTCCTTAATTTCTAATCTTTGTTTCTTTTTTGAAAAGTTAAGCAAAAAAAAAAAATTTTTTTTTTTTTTAGCAGATTGTGTGGAAGTATGAATTATGCCTACATTTAGTGTGGCATTGGTTGTATGCTTTCTATCGTATTCTCTGTTCATTGTTCATTGTAGTATGTTTCTTATCCCCTTTTCTGTTTTTACATTTTGGTGGGAAGTCCAAGAAGGCAGGAGTGCTGGTGTGGGTGGTACACATTGCCACAGCAGAAATGTTATCTTTACCAGACCCGCTCTACACCATGGTTTGGGAGTTCTTCCTAGCTTTGAAACCTTCCCATACAGAAGCCATTCCTAGAGATTCAGTGAACCATGCAACATCTTTTTAGTAATCTTTTCTTTCTGTTTTAATTAGCCAGAGTTGGTGTTAGTTTCTTCAATTAAAACTCTAAAGAAAGATTGTTTCCCTTCTTTTTTAAAAGATCAATTCTATGGGGCATTTCTGCTCAATTGAGATCTACCTTATTCATTTAGATACAGACTGTGAGACGAGGCAGATGATACTTAGATCACAAAGTGATCCAATTATTCTAGACAAGACAGGAACTTCTCAAAAAAAAAATTTCACCCTCAATACTATAGAATATGAGTAAAAATCTCCTATATTAATTTTCATGAGGGACAATCTGATTGCTTCCTTAGAAGGTAGCCCAGGTTTATTAGTAGGCAAAAATAAAAACTATGCAGTCACTAATCAAAGAAGAGAAGAGAAATTTTCATGAAGGTGGAAAGATATATCTTGGGACTTAGGACAAGATTTAGCATTCATGAGGAGTGGGCAGGTAAGTCTGTAAAGCTTGCTCCTAAGAGTCAGCAGGTATGTGTATGTATGTGTATGATGTGTGTATGGTATGTGTGTGCTGCATGTATGTGGCATGTGTATGATATACATGGCCCTGAGCTGCTGCAGGGAAGGTTCCTAGGTCTTAGTGATATAGATGATAAGGATCAAAGGTGTAAATTCTCCACGTCTTTGCTTAAAACATCTGGATTGTAGGGCTGTTGAGAGAGAAGGGGAGAAATTAGGAAACATAGATTAGCAAGATCTATGTCAGGAAGAAAGGACAGAGAGGTGACAATGAAAACAGTAGAGTGAGAAAAGAGCTGAAGCAAGCAAGCTCTGGAGAGACAGAGAAAGATCAGAGTCTAAGAGAACACTGAGAGGAAGGAAGCTGGGAGTCCCTGCAGAGAGAAGAGAGCAAAAAGGCATTGTGAAAAAAGAGAAAGGTATGTGCAAGTGTGTGGGGTGTGTGTGTGTGTGTGTGTGCAGGGTGTGGGAGGGTAAGTCAAAAAGTATCGCAATAAAGTCATAGAAGGCTTTATTAAACAAGCATATCAAAATGTGAAGCTATTGTTTCTGGTCATATTCTCTGTCTAGGCCTAGTCACTTCTGAAGGTTGTTTTTCCATCTCTCTAAGCCTTCCCCCAAAGAAACCTGTGCCTTCAATTTGCACCACCTCAAAACAATAGTTTTACCATCCTGAGGAACTAAAGTCATGTTACTTTTAAACGTTCTTGGAGTTTGGGGAGCAAAAAGAAATCTGAAGAGGCAAAGTCAGGGCTGTAAGGTGGACAGGGTAAGGTTTCCCAGCAAAATTCTTAGAAGACAGCTGTTGCTAACCTTGAAGAGTAAGCAGGTGCATTCTAGTAATGGAGAAAAATTCCTCAGCGTAATTTCCCTGACATATTTCTCACCATCACAGTTTTCAGTTTTCTTAAAACTTCTTCATAACAAGCTGCCAAGATTGTCCTGTGTCCCTTAAGAGAATTTATTAAGATGATCTCTTTGGGATTCCAATAAACAGATGCTATAACCTTCTGATCTGACCTGTCTTGGATTTCACTGACCCAGCAAATCCCCTCAGAAGTCATTGTTTTGGGAGAGCATCTGTTTGGAAAGCACCTAACAAGACTAAGACAAGGGTGTTATTGAGAGAACTTGGCTACAACCATCCACTGAAGACAGAGACATGTTTAAACAAGTTTTGTTTGGAATAAACCCATACATATATGAGCTGTAATCCGGTAGCAGTGCTCTTTGACTCACCCTTGTATGTGTGGTGTGTGTCTGGTGTGAGTATCTGTGTAAGTGTGTGCATAGTGTTCAGATGGTGTGTGTGTATGTGTAGTGTGTGTTTGGTATTTATATATGGTGCACGTGTTTTGTATGTTGTCTGTATATGTGTGTGGTATGTATATGTGTGGTGTGTGTATAAATGAATGGTGCATGTGTCCTGTGTGTCTATATGTATGAATGTGTGGTTCACCTGTGGTATGTGCATGTATGTAGTATATGTGTGTGTGAGCAGTGGGGAGAGAGAACCAGGAAAGAAGAATGGGGGTTTGGTTGAAGCAGGGAAAGTCTGATGGGGGTGCAGGTGGGAAGGAGAGCCAGGTGAGGGCCTACAACGGGGATGGTTTCTCACCGCAAGGATCTTCTCAAGCTGCTGTTTTATCTTCTGACTTCTGGAAGTCACGTTCTTCCAGGGATTAAACTCCTCTCCTTGGTTGTCTACGAAGTTTTCCCAGCAACTAGCAAACTCTGAGGGGACAGAGGAGAAGCCATCAGGCTCTGGGGACATGCTCGGCAAATCCCCAGCCCACAGGGCCAGTACGTCTCTTCCCATATCTCAGGCCTTGCTTCCTCTCCAGAACGTGGGCTCCAAGGACACGGACAGGAGCTGGACCACCATCCTCCCAGCCTCCCCTGCTGGCCCTCAACAGGCAGCCATACCAGATTCCGTCATGGCGGCCACTTTGATATTGGATTTCTGCAGAAGCCGTAGCCCCTTTTTGTAGTCCCTCTCCCAGAAGTAGTACAGACGTGATGTAAAAATGGTCAGCTTTAGCTGGGGTTTGTGTTTCATGAACTCGACCAGGCTCTTGGCTCCACGGAGACATGGGCTCCAGGTGAGGTAGCAGGTAATGTTGTAGTTTTTATCTTCTTCCAGTTTCATAGAACATATCTCACTAATAAAGCGAGTTACTGCATAGTAAACTTTCTGGGGAGGGCCCTAGAGAGAGAGAGAAAAAGGTCAGAGGGCCAAACTTACAAGTTGGACTGAGAGTGGAGAAGGGGATGAGAAACTATGTCCAGGAACTGGCCTCGGACAGGGAGAGGAGCCCCCTTTCTTCACTGGCTCACTCATTCATTCAGTCAATATCCAAAGTACCCACAGTTCGGACCCCTGGCTTCCCGTGCCCACAGTCCCAAACACTTTCTGGTGCTCTCCTCTGGACACTTGTCCATCAGGTTGTCTGAAGATGGTTCCCATTGGGGACCGTAAGGGGCAGGTCAGGATGCGAGGTAATGGGCAGAGCTGGGGAGAGATCAATGTCAAGTAGCAGGACAGGAATGTATGGAGACGTAGCAGGTGGAGTTTAGTGCTGGGTCCTAGGTATACGCATGTGCTATGGGCTGTAAGTCCTGGTGTGGCAGTGTAGGATAAGCACTGGACTGCTAACTGAAAGGTTGGTGGTTCAAACCTACCAGCCACTCCTCAGAAACCCTACACAGGGTTATTATGAGTCAGAACCAACTCGACGGCATCTCACAACAATAACAACAAGGACTGTAAGTTAACTGGTGGTATAACCGGTTAAGTGGTTGGCTGCTAACAGAATCCATCGAGGGATGCCAGGGAGAAAAGTCCTATCAATCTGCTTCTGTGAGATTGCAGTCAAGAAAACCCTAGAGAGCAGTTCCATTCTGAAGCACACGGGGTCGCCATGAATGGGAATCAACTCAACAGCAATGGGGTTTGGTTTGATTTAAGCTTTGTGAGTCCCACTCATCTGTCAATTTGTTGTACTGTGGTGGCTGGTGTGTTACTGTGATGCTGGAAGGCATGCCACTGGTGTTTCAAATACCAGCAGGGTCATGCATGGTGGGCAGATTTCAGGAGCTTCCAGTCTAAGGACAGACTAGGAAGAAGGACTAGGCAGTCTTCTAAGAGATTAGCCACCGGAAACCTTATGGACAACAGCAGAACGTTGTCTGAAATAGGGCCGGAAGATGAGCCCCTCAGATGGGCAGGCCCTCAAATACAATGGGAGAAGAGCTACCTCCCCAAAGTAGTTGTTGTTGCAGTTGTTAAGTGCCATTGAGTTGGTTTTAACTCACTGTGTCCATGTATAGGATTTCCAAAAAGTGGCTGATGGGTTTGAACCAGAACTCCCCTTCAAAGTAGAGTCTACTTTAATGATGTGAATGAAACAAGGTTCTAGGGATTGTCAATGGTTGATGGAGCACAACTCAAAATGAGAACAAACAGCTACACATATCCATTAATAATCAGAACATGAAATTTATGAAGTATAGGGAAATAGGAAGTAAAAAATGAAATGGAACACATAAAGATCAATATCCTAGGCATTAGTGAGCTGAAATGGACTAGTGTTGGTCATTTTGAATCAGACAATCATATGGTTTACTCTGCCGGGAATGGCGTTTCATTCATTGTCCAAAAGAACATTTCAGGATCTATCTTGAAGTGCAGTGCTGTCTATGATTGAATAATATCTATACACCCGCAATGAAAACTAGATAATACAAACATGATTCAAATATGCACCAACCACCACAGCCAATGATGAAAACATTGAAGAATCCTGCTAACTTTTCAGTTTAAAGTTGATCAAACACGCAATCAAGATGCATTGATAATTACTGGTGATTGGAATGCAAAAGTTAGAAACAAAGGAGGAGAGCTCTGTAGTTAAAAAATAGGGTGTTGGTGATAGAAATGGCACTGGAGATCACATGATAGAAATTTGCAAGACCAATGACTTCTTCCCTGCAAATATCTCTTTTCAACATCATAAATAGTGACTATACATGTGCACCTTGACACATAGAATACACAGGAATCAAACTGACTACATCTGGGGGAAGAGATAATGGAGAAGCTCAATATCATCAGACTGGAGAAAGGTTCATTAACAACCTGTGATATGCAGATAACACAACCTTGATTACTGAAAGAGAAGAGGACTTGAAACACTCACTGATAAAGATCAAAGACTATAGATGACACCCCAACATAAAGAAAAAATTCAGTATAGATTACACTCCAACATAAAGAAAACAGAAATCCTCACAACGAGACCAATAAACAACATCATGATAAATGGAGAAAAGATTGAAGTTGTTAAAGATTTCATTTTACTTGGATCCACAATCAACACTCATGGAAGCAGCAGTCACTAGTTCAAATGACTTATTGCATTGTTCAAATCTACTTCAAAAGATCTCTTTGAAGAATTCAAGAGCACAGATGTCACTTTGAGGACTAAGCTCCATTCCATGGTATTTTCAATCACCTTGTATGCATATGAAAGCTGGACAGTGAATAAGAAAGAACAGAGAACTGATGCATTTGCATTTTGGTGTTTGCAAAGAACATTGAAAGTATCGTGGACTGCCATAGAACAAACAAAGCTGTCTTGGAAGAAATACAGCCAGAATGCTTCTTGGAAGGGAGGATGGCGAGACTTCATCTCAGGTACTTTTGACTTGTTATCAGGAAAAGGATATCATGCTTGCTTGGTAAAGTAGAGGGTCAGCGCAAAAGTGGAGGATCCTCAATGGGATGGACTGGCACCGTGGCTGCAGCAATGGGCTCAAGAAGAACAACTGTGAAGATGGTACAGGACTAGACAATGCTTTGTTCTGTTGTGCAATGAGTAGACGTTGACTCCATAGCACCTAACAACAACAACAGCACCAAGTGTGACCATCACCCATCTGTTAGCTTGTTGTACGGTGGTTGCTCACATGTTGCTATGATGCTGAAAGCTGTGCCACCTCTGGTAGCGTAGTGGTTACAAATCGGGCTGCGAACCGCAAGGTCAGCTGTCCCGC